ATTCTTGAGCTGGGGGCCCAATTTAGAGCTCTTAGGAAAGCCAGTGTACACAGGCTATTCAGCTGCTAGTTGCACGCAGCTAATATACTTTTGAATTACATGTAGCTGCTGCTTCCAGCTTGGCTTGCTGTGGCGTTTCCTTCCCTCACAATGCTGAGTGAATAATTTATGGGTGAAGTTTGTCTTTCTCTCACATTTATATTTCCTATTTCAAAACTCTTTGAAAAATTTATCAAAATAAGCCTTTTCCTTTAGTTCTTTTCTGAGGAGGCCATAAGAAAAGTTTCTGCTGCCTAATTGGAGGTTCCCAGAATCAACTTTCTCCTGCACATACACACCAATTTAAAAGTATCTGCTTTGTGAATATTTGCTGTAATCTGACTGGGTTACTGCTTAGAAGCTTTTTGTGCTAATGAATGTTTCTCCCAGGGAAGTTCCCTTTTCAATATTTGTGGAAGACACACAAAGGACAAGGACACAGTTATCTTAATTTGCAAATGTATTTTAATATTTATGATGCCTATTTTAATATTCACTCATTTTCTATTTGTGCAAATGCAGCATGTCTGTTTTAAGGTAGAATACATCGTGGTAATTTGTTTTGTCACCAGAAACATTAATGTTGGGAACAGCTAGTGCAAGGTTGGACAAGCAGAAATCCTACTGCCTGAGTGAGGCCTTAAATAAGCTCATAAATCACAGAAGTTGGCTTCCTCCTCCAACGGGAAGTTGAAAATAAGAATACTGTGGTCAAATTTACACAGTTTGTGGATATTGGAAGGGCCACCATGACCCTACATGTGCCACAGAAGCCGGGCTGGGGCTGTATGGGATGCTTTGGAAATGTCCTTCCTTTGGTGAATCACTTGTCATCACATGCTGCACTTAGCTGACTCATATCCCAAGGTATTTAAAGGAAGGCAAGGATGAAAAGCACTTTGGACCCAGTCAGAAAGGAATTAATCTTCCATTTGAAACCAGTGCTGCTGCAGAGCATTCCCCCTCTTCTCTGATTGGTGTGCGGCATCCAGCGCTTCTTGCTATTCATCTCGTACCTGTCGACAGCTCTTCAAGTTGTCTTATGGGGAATTTCCTCCTACATGTTATTCGAATATTTTTGTTTTATCCTGTCCTGATAAATGATCTTGCCAGCAAAGATTGCTTCTTTTCAGGGCTGGCAAACACCATTTCTTACCTGATGGCTTATTGGGAATGCAATTGGAAAAAACATGATGACATTTTAAAAAAGCATGTTGGAATAAAAGGAGAGGAGAGATTTTTATCACCCACCCAGTAGCTGCAGACAGAGGAAGTTCTAATTCTGGTTACATCCAGAGTGTACAATTTTTCTTAGTGGACTTGGCGATTAAGTACTTAGCTGAAAAGCATGAGTGTCACAGGCTGATGGCTTCTCAAGGTTGCTGTGCTAGCACAGGAAGATGGGCCCCTCCATCACCTTGTGAGTGGTGTGGCCTGTGCCCTTCTATTGAGTGGTGGAGGAGGTGATCTCTGCCCAGCTGTGTGCTTGGTTCCTGTAGAAACAAAAGTCTCCCCATTTATCTTCTCTTTGAAGGCACAGATGTTCTTACCTCAGAGTTTTCCTCACTGCTTCTTGGTCTCTTTTCAGATTGTATGAAGCAGCATGATGATAACCAGTACCGTTCTGCCTCTGCTGAGGGTTTTGGTGCGGTAGCTGTCAAAGCTCCTCAGTAAGAGCTACGTTGAGTAAGTGAAGGAGTGGCATTTTGCTATCTGAGGTCCTTTCAGATCCTTTCTAGATCTAAGCATACTTGTAGTTTAGTATGCTTGAAAATAATGAGAATTGTGTTTAACAATACACATGTTTGTGATTAATAACTACTTTCTTGTAGGTGCTCTTGGTCTTCCAAGATGTTAGGAAAAGTCAATGAAATTAAGGTACCCCATTGCACAGAAGTTCAAACCCAAGTGGGAGTACCCACAGCAAAAGTGATTCTGCTCAAATCAACAGCTTTCAAAATCATCTTGGTTTACTCCAGTTATTCTGTGTTTGGGGGGGTGTGGGGTGGTAGTGGTGTTGTGACACTCATTTTAATTGGTACAAAATCAGCAGTATTAAAGTTAAGCAATTTTTCTGCATACTTTGTCTTCTAAACAGAATTTCTGGTTATTTCTATAGCCCTGATTTTGCTGTCAACAGAAATACTCAGAGATACCTATTGTGATCTTTTTGTGGAGGTGCCATACACACCCCCAAAAAATAACCTATGTTCAGCAGCAGATAATTCACCTGCTTTTTCAAAGTATAAGCTCAAAATCTCAATACCTTGTTTTATTTCTCAATTATGTCAATAATCCCTTAATCTACGTTTTACTTCTTTATTCATGTGTTCATTGAACTGTATTGTGAAACACCTTGCTGAAGAAGTTATTTTATTACTCGTTATAATCGTAGGATAGTACCTATATATTGGAGGAGGAAGAAGGAAAAGTTACTTGGCAAGTTTATTTGAACTCATCAGGAAGTCAGCATAAAGCACCCTAAGATGTGATTTCCAAAACCAGCTGAGTGCCTCTCCTCCAGAATCTGCCCAGGTGAAAAGGTAACTGGTCACACTGACAACTAAAAACCTTGGAGATGATCACTACGATGCGATGGGATATTCTGCCTGCAAACATGGACTAGAGAATACTCTTCTTACTGTGGCAGACAGTACAGGGGAGGAGATGGCACAGTGCTGTAGCTCTCTAGCTTGGTCCTTTGTGAGTAATATAAATATATAAATGTTTTCTGGTTTTCATATTGGATCCTTAGTGGGGGAGCTGGGAGAACAGCTTTGCATCTGAACTGACTTGGGTAAAATCAGCACATTTACCTTGGACACCATCCTGATTTTCAAAATGTCAGGGGAGAGCAGTCAGTCCTGACAAGAGATCTCTTTATGACTTTTAAGTTGTGTTTATTCTTCCTCTCTTATTTCAGTTACCTAAACATTTATATAATTCAAAGATTTATTTTAGCGCAGCAAAGCAAGCTATAGACCAGATACTGTATTTCATTTGCTGTTTAGCCCATAACTAACAAAGCAGCAATTTCTTTATTAGAGGATAAACTCACATCTGAAAATACACTGTCAGTGGTGTCAAGAGGAAGGTGATAAGCTGCACCATTTCTGGGCATTAATGCTTTCATTTATTTTCAAATAGTTTGCAGAGCAGCTGACACCTGGCACATAGACCGGCGCCGTTAAATCAGATCGAATGAATGTCTGAAAGAGTTTTTGGAATGGCTGTGTACTGCCACTGTAAGCCAAAAGAAGAAACTCACACTATTAACATTTTTCTTACAAGAGGCATTTCACTTGCTCATACGCTCTTTGCATGGCACTTACTCTGGTGAATTTAAGGTACATCCTATTCTGCATAGCAGTGAAGCATATCCTTAAGTCTCGCTGAAATGTAGAAGACGACAGAGATTACAAGTCCTTCCTGAGGTGCCGGAACAGAACCCATTAAGGTATTGCAAGTCATGCAATTCAATGGCCCTGAAAATATAATTTGATTGTAATTCAGGAGGTTACTAAAAGGAAATCCATTCTAGGCTGTTAGATAAGCAAAAGCCGAGAAGTGTTTTTCTAGGAGTGGTTAAATGTGAGGTGTGAGTCCCTTATCTCTTTTGTTTGCAGTTTATCACCACTGAAGGCAAGTAAAAGGGGAATAATACGTAGTTCACAGGAGAAGATTGGATTAAGCTTTCCCAAAGGTTTTGTGGGAGCTATTTCCATTTCACTCTTGTCTGGATTAGCCTAACTGCTTCAGGCTATTCCCAAATCTGCAAAGGAGAAGGTCTTGGTGCATGGCAGGGAGGGGAGGATGGCCAGTGCCTTGTTTCTTTCTGGAGGAATTTGCCTTTGAGTTCTGTAAAGGAATTAGGAGAGCTGTGAAATCCTACCTGAGTGCAGAACTTCTTTTACTGTGGAGCTTTTTCAGATTTCTTTTTGCCGTGTAAGCTTACTGCTTTGTAATGGGTGTCTCCTGTAAGTGTTGATTAGAGTAGGTGTTAGAAGAAACCAGAGTGCTCTCATATATTGCTGTGATTATATTCAATGCCCCTGTTTACAGCTCTAGTTACTGCAGCTCAGTTTATGCATATTAAATAGCTAATGAAATATTGGCATGGACTTGAGGTGGTTGAGTTTATGTATTATGATACTGAATTTTAAAATGCTATGTCTTTGGTACCCTGTGCAACCTTGGAATAAGCTCTAAAATACACCTAAATGAAAGGTAGATTCAACAAGTGTAACGAAGAGCAGTGTTGCCGTGACTGCAGGCAAGCATGCAAGGGTGCCTAATGTGCTGTCTGACCAAGGTGAAAGTAGAGGCAGCAGCATAGAGACCTTGCAGACACCTGCTGGGTACTTGCAAGAGACTGACACTGCTAAATAAAACTGACTCAGAGAGATAATATAGAGCACCGTTATTTTGGTGCTTCTGATTAACTTAACTTTCATTGTATGAGTCCTTAACTTTTCCTTAACTTTTAGTGTAGGAATCAAGAGGGAAGGGCAGCCAGTCTCTCCCTGCAGGATTCTACCTGGCTCACTGTGTGACTTGGAAATAACCCCAGGTTTTCTGTATTTTGTTTCTGTGTGAGAATGACTTCTGTAGCAGCAGAGCATAGGACACGCTTGCCCCTGCTTCAGCGCAGTGAAAGGATCCGCTGCTTCCAATTTGGTGAAATCCAGTCTCTGACAGTGCACCCATTCCGCCTGCATTATATTCATTTTCGTGGAAATGATGCAGTCTGAGTGCAAGGTTGTTCTCATTTATAAATATTAGTTTAGGCAGGGTGAGTTTTCCAAGCAAAGGATGATTATGCGGAGGAGATAATTTGTGATTCAGAAATATTTACTGTCCAGCTACTCCAACTTTTTCAAATACATCATGGTCTATAAAATTCATGTGTGTGAAAAAGAGAGTGCAGTTATGGAATATTATGTTTTACTATTCCAGTGACAATTTAACTTAGAAGAAGTGATCACAAGTAGACACTCATCAACACTCATCACTTTCCAGCTAATACTACACTGTTTGCAAATAGAACGGGAGAAAATCTCTGCATCTTGAAGGCTCTGACAGGTAACTGTGAAGAAGTTTATAACAGCCCTTGGAGCTGAAATGAAGGGCACCTTTCCCTGCTTTTTCATTCCTGAGGAGGCAGGCAGTAGCTCTTCCTTGCTCACTAACGGACAGTGCTGATCAGCACAGCATCTTCCCATTCACGTCAGACCTTTTGTTTTTAAGGACCACACGTTTCTTTTCTAACATGTTTCTTATTTCTCTCTGTTGTAACTGCTGCATCTTCTTTGAGCTCTTGGGCACTATGAGACATGTCCTAGATGTTGAATCTTGTCATTTTTGATGAATCTGTGAAGCACAGAGCTCAGCTGAAACTGCAGCTCAACATCCTGAAGTGCCAGTTTAATCTATTTCTAGCATTGGAAAAGAAAGGGGGGAGAACCAGAAAACCTCACAGCTTTCTACCAGTAATAACAATGGGAACAAACTGGCTTTCAGAAAATAATTTAATACCTGGAGTATTGGAGATGGCCTTTGAGTATTGTATTTAAAAGAGCCTAAGGTAGGGGAAGTGTCCTGTTACTGTGACTTGTATAAAAAAAATAAAAAAACCTAAACTTTTTTCCTATAAGAGTTCATTAAAGTGCAGTTTTCTGTTACGGTTTTCGGGACTGAGACTGCAAGTGGAACAGCCTTCTCTTTGAAATCCTGAAGACTGTTTTTGCCTTAGCATCATTGGATCACTTCTTGGGTATGTGCCCTTCATATATTGTTTTATCTGAGCTTGAGATCTGGAGGGGTTGAGTATTAATTGTTATGGTGGAGCAGCTAATGGCAGTTCTTTTAAGAGATGATTGATTACTCACCAGGAGGGTTAGAGGAAGCTTTTAAAGGCAAAGATGGATGCTGGCTAACCTGTTTGCCATTGGAAAGTCAGCAAAATTAGGTCTTTATGTCACAGAATTTGAAATTTCCCTCTGTATTCACCAGAGTAGGAAGACAAATTTCACCATTGTTTTCATAATTCCATCTGGGTTAAGACAGTTGCCATCCCAATTAAATGTCAGACAAATGCCACAGAAGATGAGAATTAAAGTTCGGATGCCATGTCTGCCTGGTTCTCAGGATCAAACAGTTAATTTCCTCACAGATGCTAATGAGCAGCTTCACTGTCTCTGAATGGGCTCCAGCTCTCCAAGAGGCTGTGGACAGTTTCTGGATGTCTCCATGGGCTGATGGTAGACAGGTCTGTGGTTGTGTGCCTGCAGTAAAGTGGTAAAACCTATCCTTCTGTTCCAGCCTGCTCTCTTTCTCATGCCAGCTTATTATAGGCTGTTTGAGATGTTCCAGGATAAGCCACTTCTTTTCACATATTTTCATTTGTAAATTCACTCTGTGCCTGGGCATCTCTTTTGTGTGTGTGTGTTTGGAAATCAGTGGTTCAATTTAAAACTATTCAGTATGATGTCAAGGTTCACACCCTCCAAAACAGCAATCTTGTTTTAATGCTTGAGTTGCTTTAGGTTTCTCTCCAAATACCTTTAATTCTCTAGAAAATCTGCAGCATATCTGTAAGTATATAGACTATACAGAAGTATATGTAAAGGTATCTGAGTGCATTAGGCCAGATATTAGGAATAAATGGGATGACCACCTGTTTAGCATTCAGCTTCACCTATCTAAACTATAATTTTCATTTGTACTGTGTGACATTTAAATCAATGCCCACAAAATAAAATTGCTTTGTTTAATAATCCTTTGTGCCAGGGTTATCAATAGTTCATTAGTCTTGCTTTGCATCTGTCAATAAAAGGTGCATCTGAGAAGGAGAATGCTCAAGGAAAGGAGTATATTCTGTATGGGAAGATGTCTTCACTTTGGCCACCCTTTCCCTCCTTTTGATTGTAGGCTGCATGGTGTGGTTGCAATGTACCCATAGCTTTTTTTTTTCTCTTGAAACGTGGTAGAGACTGCTATAAGGTTTCATTTATTCCTGAAGAGCCAAAAGTGGCTCTTGAGTCCTGAGCTATATTCACACCATAAAAACACAGGTGTGAGAAACTTCCACAGCAGGATCAGTAATTATTTTAGCTGCCCTTTGGGTTTTGCCACTCATCCAAAAGGCATTCATGCAAAGGCAAGTTGTCCCTTCCTGGCTAGAAACCAGTGTGCCTCTGAACAAGATGACAGCATGCTGCATGCTGACTAATGAGTGCCCCTTCCTGGGCCACCTAGGTGCTCCTCACTCATTACCTTGGTTTATGTAGCTTGACATGAGAAATTGGATATTATCCCAGCAAGGTGGCATGGCTTCAGGCAATGATATTTTACTCACATAATCTTGCCAAGTTCATCTTAGCAGCATTTTATTTTCTGGTTCCTCTTGATCTGTATCACTGAACTCTCTACAGAATGTGCTGGAGACACTTCTGCGACAAAGTTGACCAAACAAAACTTCAGCACACCCTTGGTAATTTCAGCTTTTTATCAATTAATTGGAACTCCAGATAGTTTGACAAGGAGGTCAACAAATAAATTATGTCATTAATTACATACCAAATAATTACTTTAATGGCTGCTAGGATGCTACTTGATTTCTTTCACCATGATCATTACACAGTTGCAGCAAGTTTTACTAATGATCAGCATACAGTGGTTTCACAGTTCATCAAACCAGTAGATGTTGACTGGTCATTACCAAGGTGTTTGAATGACCCAGTTTCTGCAGCAGTGATATACAGGACAGGAACCTTGCCTGGGTGTACTTTCTTGCATACAAATGGGATTTCTGGTCACAGAAGAACTTCTTGTGGTTACTTGGAGGTTGAGCTGGAAGGTGCAGTAGCACAATTGTGCCCATTGTCCTTCAGCTGAGAAACCTCTAGAGGCTGGAGCCTGGGTAGATTGCTGCAGACTGGGGCTCCACCATGACCCTACGCTTACGTTGTGAATCGATTCAGCACATCTAAGAGAAGCAGAGAGTTTATGTAGCCCCATAAAGTGATTGCAAAGGCCTCCAGGAATATGTAGAGTTCATTCTGAAAAAAAAAAAAAAAAGCATCTAAGAGAGACAAAACCCTCTGGCCTTCTAGTACTCTAGAAACAAGGTTTTGAACATACACATACCTTGTTAAGTAGACCCAGAGAAAAGTTTTGACTGAAAAACTATTTTGTCAGCATATTGTTTCAATGAATGTTTCATGAAAGCCTTTTGATTTCTTCAGATTTCTTGTTAGAACAACATTGATCATGTAATTCTGATGCAAGTAATTTCTTCTTCCAGTTTATTTTATTTCCTTTTCCATTTTGCCACAGGAAAAAGAACAGAAGATTGAAAAGTTATAATGTCTTCAGACTAATCCTATACCCTTTATTTCACAATGTACTGCTGGAAATAAGAAATGGGGGAAAGAGAACTCAAAAATTGGCAAACTGAAAAAAAAATTGCCATTTCTCTCAAGATACATTTGCCTTCTTTGAAATCAGTTTTATTCATATGTAAGTTAGATAAGTGGTCTCATAACACTAGGCTACAGTTGAACAAAAAAGATTTGTATATGAAGAACTGAGTGATTTTAAACAACTTCTTGTGTTACGGTATTTTCTATCAATATTTCATCAGAAGAAGTCAGTGATTTACTCTGAGTCTTGCTTTGCTGATGCAGGTAAGCTGTCTCTGTTCAAGTGTCATTCTTTGACGATTTTCTCTGCTGATAAGAGTTAGCAAGGAGAATGAAAAGGGACAAATGCTCATAGCATAGTCTCCAGACAAACAGGGAGAGAATGAAAGAATTGTGGTTCTTTTTGAAATGATGTCTCTTTCCTCCTGGCTGCAGGAGTCCCACAAGCTGTTAAGTGTGTTTCCACGATTCAAGTGCCTACTGACTCCAGGACGCTGAGGTGGACCTCCATGGGCAAATATTGCCCATGACCTTCTCCTGCAATTGCCTGCTTTGAATGTGGCAGTGAAAAGTAGTTCCATTAGCAGGTGATGCACTGGGTTTATGCAGGATGCTTGAAAATCTGTACTCATGAGAATGATTGGAAATTTCTAGTCTTTTCTTTGCTCCAGGCCAAATGCAGATGTTATTCAGAAAGATTGTCCAGTAGAGTCATCTTAAATTGAGCTTTTCTCAACTCTCAATAAAAATAAAAACTCTCCAGTGTCCTCACCCCACCAAAATAACCAGTGATGTCTCCAGGGCTGCAGTGTAACTCCATATGGCAGCAAGACTAAGCGGTAGGAAAACAGGTCAGTTAGAAGGCAAGAGGATATTTGGCACATTTATCCACTGTCTGCTGCTTGTGAAGCTCTTCCAAAACCTGACTATAGCTGTGACTGTCACACTGTGTTTGAAGACCAGATCCAAGAAATGACTCGGGGCCCATCTGTGTTGCCAAATAACTTCACTCTGTTGTTTGCTCCTGGTCTTTGCTGTCTGACTGTCCATGCTAGATGCTGTTTTGAAGTGAGCCAGCTAGTTCCCTCCAAGAGGAAACTCTCCAGGGCTGCTGTCACAGATGCAATGTGTATTCTTATCATCACGCTGTCTCACGGCTCTAATGAGCTGTGAAACATCTCTGGTATCACCGAAGCTATCTTGGACCAACGTTGTCGTTCTGCCATAGGATTTCTTTAAGAGTCCCAGTGGATGTGCAGTGCAGATGTGGCCATCGCCTTCAAGAGGGAACTAGTCCCCAGTCATGCCCTCAAATCCTGTAGGGCCAAAGAGGGAAGAAATTGTTCAAGGTTGGGCTGATGAGTGCACAGCAGGGGTGGTTTGCTCTGACTATGCGGCATTGCTGTGTCCATTGCAGGGAGTCACCTTGGTTGTGAGTAACACACACAATTTTAGTAACAATTTAAAATTTAGAGCATACTGTGAAGGTAACTTCATATGGGAATCCACAGCTATATTACTTTTTCCTAGTTTTATTAGCAAATAAAGCCTTTCTACTGTTTTGCCTCGTGATTTATTTTTTAATGTGTTATAAATAGCCAATGCTCTAGTTTGGGTCAGTTCCCTGTGGAAATAAGTGTATGCCACTTAAATACTAGAGGTTAAATTCTTCCCATTGTATTTTTAGAAACCTTATTATAAGGTAAATTTATTTTGTCAAATGACCAGTAACTAATTTTACAGAAGACGTTAAAGAGAGTAAACTCTAAACTCTCTTCTCTGACTTGGACCTTGACATTTAAAGTGTAAGACTTGAATGTACTGGGCTTTCAAAGGTACGCTAAGTGTTGGCTGAGCAATGTGTCATGGTGAAAGAGGTGGCAGGGCAGTGGAGAGAGGTCTGAGCTTCCTTCACACCAGCCAGAAAAGGAGCCAGGAGCAGTCCAGCCACACCACTGCTGAGCATAGCATAGGGCGATTTCTCTCATCAGAAGCTTGTCAGTGCACCTTGCTGGTGCAGAGCTTTTCTTCTTGTGCTTCTAGCCCTACAAAGGTTATGAAGAGGGAGAAAGGGAGAAAGACAAAGTATGAGGGATATGTGTCATTATGTGGCAATGCAGTTTTTTCCAGAAATGCTAACTGACAGCTAGTCATACAGCACAAGCCAGTGTGTGTCTTCATCTCTGCCATCTGTTGTGGTTGCCCTCTTCCCTGCCTACTCCTGATAGATGAATTGTCTTTTTTTTCATCCTGCTGAGCTTCCTGGACAACTGATCTCCTCTATGCTAGTGCTGGGCCAGTGTCACAAAGCTGCTGAGAAGGCGTGACCTGGAGGAGATCACAGTATCGCAGTATCACAGTATGTTAGAGATTGGAAGGGACCTCAAAAGATCATCCAGTCCAATCCCCCTGCCGGAGCAGGAACACCTAGATAAGGTTACACAGGAACGTGTCCAGGTGGGTTTTGAATGTCTCCAGAGAAGGAGACTCCACAACCTCCCTGGGCAGCCTGTTCCAGTGTTCTGTCACCCTCACTGAGAAGAAGTTTCTTCTCAAGTTTAAGTGGAACCTCTTGTGTTCCAGTTTGTACCTCCCAGCAAGCTACCCACACACTGACACTGGTTTAGCTCCTCACTTGGAAATCTCTCTTGATTTTAATAAAAAAACCAAAATGAAATGAGTTTTGGAGAAACTGGCATCTGTCTTACATGCTGGAGAGGCAAAATCCTTCTCCTCACTGGATGGGGGAGCTGGACTCCAGAATTCACAGCAGTAGACTCTTTCATACCGATGATGTATGTAATGTAATTTACTCCTTTCCCATAATGAAAAGTGTTGATGCAGGTGAAAAACAGCCTTTAACCTATTTTGACCCTGTGGAAGGTCGAAAGAAAAGCTTAACTAATTTAACACTGCCTTTTTTTTTGGAAGGATGCAATTCATACTTTGGTTTAACAATCCAACATAGAAGAAAACAGCATGACTTGAGCCAAGAAGAGGAGTAGAGAGAGTGAATAACGACAGCACAGATCAGCAGTACAGAAGCAGGCTGCTGCAGCACCTGTACAGAAAGCCTGAGGCCAGCCAGAAAAGTGGCAGAAAGATTGCTGTGGGAAATGGCATGGGGAGCACCATATGCACCAAGCACTGAAAGGCTGAGAACAGCATTTTAAGCTATCCTAAAGATGGGGGAGATGTCTCTGCCCTTGAGCAGGGGCAAAGAGAGAGAGGAATTTTTGAAGGCGTCGTTTCAAGGCCATACTTTTAATGTTAGACAAGGGCATGTTTGCTTTTACTTAAACTAATATGTGTTGGTGCTAACAAGGCACTGTAGATGTTTACAGGGATGCAGTGTGCAGATAGGAATGGAGCATGGCTGTTGTGTGTTTCTTTAGAGGAGAAATGAGTATTGATACAGTTGTGTGACATTTACAATAAAAAGCAATCCATGGGTAAACCTGGCAAATTAACCACTTTGAATGCAAATTAGGGAGAGCTTCTGTTCTGCTGTGTTCTTGTTTTTGTCTTGATGTGGCAATTGTTTAAAGCAGGAATATAGTTTAATGACATTCTCAAAATAGCCTCTGCTACTACTATTAGGTTGTTTACAATCTATATAATGCTAGATTTTTCTACTAAGTGTATTTTCTTCCTAATTTTGAATTTTCCTAATCTGCTGAGTCATTTCTACTTGGGATAAAATAGAAGAAAATGCATTGTGTGAAATCAGAACAGATTGTTAGAGCCATTAATTTCTCTTCACCAAATCAGACAGACAATACATTATTGTCTTTTCTGTGTTGTGTTTGGTTTTTTCTCTTCCCCTAGTTTTTGTTTTAAATGAGTACTACTGGAAGATGAAGGATGCCTGGCCTGCTTTCTACCTCAGTCAGTGAGAGAATTCATGGCAGAGGGTCCTGAAGATGCTGCACAGATAGCCTCCTGGTCAGAGATGGCAGCTTCCCAGAATTTTGGTCTGAGTGAACTGATTTTCTCCTTCAGGTATGTTCCTTTAAGAAGAACATAAAATGAGGTCTTTTGAATGACCTAAGTGTTTGACTTCTATTTTTGCTTAGTCAATATATCATGTTGTGAGTTTAGAGCTGAAAGTCAGCACAAGTTTGATGTTGACATTGGTGGGGTGGGAGACAGCCAGGTACCCCTGCCATTAAGGGCATTGGCATCCTGGAGCCAGGCAGGACATGAGTGCTCGGCTGGAAAGGCTCTACCAGAGTCCCATAGTTTTACAATCCATTTACTGGTGCCTGCAAGATGTTTTGCATAGATTTCTTTTCTTCTTACCTAAATGTGAACACATACAGATCAATCCACAGAGTCTGAAAATCTTTCTGGTTCTTTTAGAAACATTCTGCTTTGTTATTCCTTTCATTGTGTTGCACAGAACAAGGCAACACCAAGAAAGTAACTTACTGGGGATGATCAGAAAGACCTTTTTTCCCCTGATTTTTCAAAGGCAGTACACATAAATTGAATGTCTGTACACAGAGTAGCGATTTTCTATATATAACCAAGGTGTCATTCCTGTAGCTCATTATTTCATCATGTTTAGGAAAAACATCTGTGTCAACAGCCAAGGCTGGTGACTGTCATTGGTTTTATTAAAAGCAAAAACGTTTGATCTTTTGAAGAAAGAAAAAAAAAAATCAACTCCTGTATTTTTTAAACTATTTTGCACTTGATCTTACCTGAAAGCATCAAAAAGTGAAAATCTGATGTGACATTACACATCCTAGTGGCCCCTAATAGTTGCTTACTCCACCAATTTTTCTAAGTTTATCTTTAATCTGCTACTCCCAAACTAATTGAGGACTCAGTGCCTTTAGACTGATTTTCATTTTGTCTTGAGTTATTTGGACATCTTTACTACAAATTCTTTTTCAGTCCAATTAAATTCCTGCAGCATAAATGTCATTATTAATATCATCACCTTTGGTAGACTAACTTTGCCTTGGTCTCCTGATAACTGTGCATTGTAGACTAACTCCTTTTCTTCCTGGTTAATATTTGAAAAGTTTGGCTTGAAGTAAGAACAACTCAAGGCTTAGCATAGACAGAAAATCCATTCATATTAATATATTAATTCAAATTTATGGGTTTTTGTAAAAAAAAAACCACCACCCTACAGTTATGGTATTATATTAATTTTCAGAGGAATATTTCAAAACTCATTTAAAAGTTTTCTTTTTATCTTAGAAAACTGTTCCTAGGTGCTAAGAATTCTAATAATTTGAGGATTAGAAGTAATTCCCACTTACATGGTAAAAATTTCCAGTAAAATCATTAATGCAAGTGAAAGGGACACTCACTGAAAAAATATATGTGGGGCTGCAAGGGACTGCCAAAAACTATTCAGTTCTTCAGTCCAAGAAAAGCTCTTCCATGGACTCTCTGCAGAGGCCAGGACACCATCCTGGGAATGGTGGGAACGTAGGGCCAGTGGGTGAGTTCTTATTTTCTTAGCAGGTAAATATTAAGAACTACCTAAAAAAAAAAAAACACAAAAAACAAAAAAACCAAAACCACCAAAAAACAAACCCCCAAAACTGATATGAAAATGTCATAATCTGTCAGTAGCTGGGCTAACATTGTCGCGATAACTTTCTGTTAATCCTGAATTTAATAATGAACTTTTTAGCTCTAAATCCATCAGTAATACAGAGATTTTCTGAAGGGCACAGGTAACAGTGAATTACCTTTTGTGGGAGGTGTACTGTGAGTAAATCAATACACTGATTCCTAGTCTAAAAAAAAGGATTATTTTATTAAGGTGAGGTTTTGATCTTTCCTCTCTCAACGTTTCGATAAATGTTAGTGGTATTATAACTGCAGATCCAGACATCCAGAACAATCTATTAAGTTAATAGGCAGTGAGAGTTTGAGATTGATTGCTATAATCACGGCGTGAAAGCTGGAATTTGTTTTCTAGATACAGATAAGTGGACCAGATTCTGGCACAACTACAGAGTTGTGTATTACTACAAAAAATGTCTGCTTAAATTCTGATGAACTAAAAAGGAGAGTAAAAAGCTATTCAGAACAAGTGAGGTTCTTATAATTTGACTCTAACAAAATACTCCTAAATTCTTCTTCAGAAACCCATATGAGCTTAAGCAAGCCTAAATAAGTATAGGAAGACTTTGTATTGATTCTGGAGCATAACCTACATCAGCCCCTCGAGAAGCCATGATGCACAATAGCAACATGGTCTGTATTGGAATGATACAGTTATAGAAGTCTCTGTTATCTTCAAATCAAAGTAGAAGTAGCCTTGGTGACACCCTCCTGCCCACTCTGTATCCACTGTAGCAAATCTCTGCCAACCTGAGGGATGCTCTGGGGGGTTCGGCTGCTGAGGCACCAGCACTGCAGGTAGAGGCTGCACCTGCTGAAGCAGCCCTGTAACCGATGGCCAAAAGCTCCCCAAAGACTGACTAAATTGCCAAGTTAATGTATTGAAGAACGTGCACTTCAGTAATTAAATTGCTCTGATGCAACTGCTACAATCTGTGATTATTTTTTTTTCTCACACTCCTGTTTATATTTTGATTATTCTTGAAGAACTCCACAGTTCCAGAGCTTCCTTGGTGCTCCCTGAAATTTTCTAGGTAAGCCCTTGATGCCATTCTTTTATCTGTCATCATGAGACTCAAAGGGGGAGGAGTGTTGTGCTTGCATTCAAAAGCCTGGTACTAAGCTTAGAAACCCTCTGGTCTGATTTTAAACATGCTTCAATGGCTTATCTGCTAAATAAAATCTACATGAGGAATGTTGATACTTAATGAAATATAAGTTTGGGGATTTCACATAAGAAGGCTGCTGTCACTGCTTTAGTATATTAAGGGAGAGTTCTGTGCAGATGGTATATACAGAGTTATTTCCTGACTGTACTCCAAAGTAAGTTGATTTGTGGTTTAATGACTTTTATCAAAATGAAATAAGCGTTTGATCTTTGGATTTGATCTGGCTATATCTGCAGCTGCTACACCACTACAGCAATTACTTCCAAACTGGGCTTCTTGCCCAGGCAAATGGAGTTCGTCCTTGTTTCATGTCTCATTGACTGTCCTCATAATACACACAATGGTACTGTAGTTTTTTTCTTCCTCTAAATTTGATAGGTGTGAAAGTAAGAGAGTAATTTCCTTTTTATAGTATCAGTGTTGTTTTATTATAATACATTTGCTACTGTTGATTAATTTTATCTTGAAGCTTCTCCTAACTAAAATTTAGGTAAGAATGTGTAATTTTCTCTACATAATCCTGCTGTGACCTTTTTATAAAGAAACAAGAAGTTCATTTATGAATTCTAAATCTGAGAACCCTCATGGTAATCTTCACATCTGTCTGTGTGGTTTAGGGATGAAGTTGTGGCAATACGTTGTACACCCATGCTGGAGTAAATCCACCCCTAATGTATTTCCATGGAAAGCAGTAGGATTATACTAGGGATACATTTACCCCCTTGTATCCATCGCTGAAATAGTGCACTTTTATACCACTGGCTAGTTATTACAGAACTAAACTGTCGTGTGTCAAGATTAGCAACTGTTTTTCCAGGACAATGATTCTTTCTTCATTTACTGCTCAGGACAAGATTCCCCCCAGTTCAGCCCTGAAAGCAGATTGTGATTGTCGTTAAGATTGTTAGGGCTTGGTGTTGCCAGCCATGACTTTCCTGAGTAGCGCAGCTCATGCCAGCTGCATTTTTGACCAGAGTTTAGGAGACAGCAATTCCTTTGGTGGCTTGCAGCCAGTTCACCTGCATGAGGACAAGCAAAAGAAAGCCGCTGCTTTGCGCTGTGCAGTGGATTCACTGAATAGGGCAATGCTGGATAAGGGTGCTCTGGAAACAACCTAGGTTTGCAGCTGGCAGATCTGAAGACTGCAGATTCACAGTGGCAAGGGGATGCAGTCACCCAGAATTACAAATCGTTAAAGATTTTTGTTCTCCCTTTGTCACGCTGGGAGAAAGCACACTGCGCTTTGTATGGCTAGAAGCTAGATTTTAAATTTTCTTTTCTGGCGGGATATTTCTTACAGATATGCAATAAAAATTACAGTAACTGGAAGTGGCTGGTGAATGAGTTGCCCATAGATTTGCAGTCCTACTAGAAACTGTGTGAGAAGGAGGTTCATCACAAGAGCTCTGGAAGGTTTTCATGTGTTAGGGTTGTTGCTGCGTCTTTAGTAAATCAAACTAGTTGCATAGTACTTGCTTCTTAATCCAGGAAGATTAAATCCACCAGTGATAGCTACATTGTCTAGCCATCTGCTCTCCCAGGTGCTCCCACGCCTGATCAGAGATGAAGTGATGTGACCTAAAATCCTACTGCATATCTGGGATCATTCCCAGCACAGTCCCAAGCTTCAGTATTCTGCGTGACATCAGATGAAGTAAACATCAAGATTTGATGCAATAGCATATGTCCACTGCATATTTCATCACAGTTCTTCTCTGGAACAATTTTTAGATATTTTTTAGTCAGAATTAGAGGATGAGGATTATTCAGGGAAAAAAGATGAGAAAATTTTGGTGGGTTTTGGAAATGTGTCTGTGTACTTCTCCTGGGGCTAAAGGCAAATTCGGCCATTCAGCTGTATGTGGTTTGTTTTTAAATAATTAATTCCATCTTGGACTGTTCCACAGTTCTTCACAACAGCTTGGCTGTGAGATGATGTAAATTCAATAGTAGCATGGGAAACCTGCTCCTTTCTTACTTACCGCTGCTGCCAAAACCCCTGTCAGGTCAGTTGACATAACTCTTCCTTCACACCAGTTTCAGAGCTGTATCACTCCATTGCCTTGAGTGTGTTTGTTCCTGATTTCCAGACACAAGACACCTTCAAATCTACTTACCTTCTGTCTTGCGACGTACCCATTAAGTGTTGGTATCATGTAGCAGCCAGAGTAGATGGTTTGCCTGCCCAGGCTGTGCAGAGTGCCTTGTAACTGCAAATCATTGCAGCTCTTACAGTTTGTTCTCTTGTGTCAGGAATAAAATAGGGAATGCATTCAGCTTGTGTGGGACACCTGGGATGTTCCTGTGTTCTTAAATGAAGGCAGTGCATGCACCCTTTTCCTTGCCTCATTTCACCTGACACACGCAGTATGAGTTGTTTTGCTGTAAGAAAGAAAAAAAAAAATCAACAAAAACCCCAGAGTCCAAGAGCATATTGTAGAGAATGAGTCACTGAAAAGAAATGGAAGGAGGAGCTACTTGGAGGGCTTTTACATTTTCCTTATTGCTAGGCGACTGCTTCCCGTGCGTGTGGCGCTCTTCAAGCTCTCAGCAGCTGCCTTATTTGTAAAGCAGTGTTGAGGGCAATTTACAGCAGCTTTGTATTAGAGAAAGAGAAGCAAACTTGGATGGGAGCTTATTTTTATTTCTCATTCTTTCTCAGACAAATGCAAGAGTGTATGGGAGACAATTGGAGGTTCAAGGAGAGCATCATGCCTGAAATGTGAGGGATCTCAGGCTGACCTCGGTATGTTACTTAGGTTTTGGGAAAGCCATGGGTTGCTCTCTGCAAATAACAGTGTAATTATACCACATTTGGGTTAAATCTGTACTGTTAGGGAAGCCACTGGTCCAAAAATGTAGTATTGCCAATCACAGAGCTCAGTTCTGACTTGTCCCTGATGGTCAGTCAGTGTGCTGTGTGGGGAACCATCAGCTACCAGTGCTTTGAGTCACATCAGGGGCAGATGCTCAAGGGAGCTTTCAGGTGAAAGTGTGAAGAGTGGCCAGGCCCACCACCAGTGACACCAGTGGGTAAAAATTCTGAGTTCTGTGTAAAAATTACTCTCTCGGAACCCCAGCTTTAATAAGGCACCTGAAGTAAGCTGATTGAGGTTGGGACTGCAAATAGAAAAATCTCCTAGGGTTGTAATCATGGGTGAGTAAAAGCCTAGGAAAAAACCAAATCTACGATCATAAGAATGTGTGAATTATCATCTAGAAGGGAGTTACTGAGACAACTGTGCAATTTCTCTTACCATATTTTTCACACTAATGCCAGATGGCTAGGAATGGGATCCCCCACATTCTCTTTCTAGTCTGAGAAGACAAGCAAATAAACAAGGAAGACGTCTGTGATGGTATTAGTTGGCTGCCTGGTAAGGTGAGCCATTGCTTTTCATTGCTGAAATAATTAGGACTGTTTTCTAATCTGATTACTGTGTTAACCCCTTCTGCTCTGTTCAGTCCTGCCCCACAGATCCCAATTATCCATTTAGTTCCTGCTCCTCCCCTGTGCTTCCTGCTTGTGACATAGTGCCAAGTTTGGGGACAGTAGCCAAGTGTCAGGTGCCTTCAGCAGTGTGCTGTATCAGTGGGCTAACAGACTCCAGCAGATGTAACCAGTGTGTCAGAAAAGCCTTATTCAGCAAAAATTAATACTTAGAGGAGCCACCTCCAGCAGGTCTCAAAGGCAGGCCAGATGGTCACTGTTGGTGTGGCTGCCAGCACGCAGTCCCAGGGACTCCCGCGTGCTGCCTTCACACCAGTGTGGTGGTGTGGTCTGGGATTCTGGAGGTTTTCCTTTTTTAATTGTAACTGTGAGAAGTTGGGAGCTGTTTGCAAGCGCTGACCCCCGTGAGTAGCTGTGGAGCACATGGCTGTGCCTTCCATCACATCCAGGAGCGAGCAGTCCCTTGTCAGGCTTTCGTCTCTTGCTGTGACAACAAAGCCGTTGTGCGATGAAGCCCTGATAAGAGGCTATCAGCAAACCACAGGCATTTGCCCACATGCTTTTGATCAGGGACTGGTCCCTGTCAATGCCTTGTGGCTGGCTAGACTTTGAAAGTGCCTTTGATCCATCTGTGCCAATGAAATGGAGTTGTTTGAAGTCTTTGATTTGTGGGCAAACTGTGCCCAGGAAACTTGATGGGCTTGTGATATTTCTCAAGATTTCTTACATTTCAAGAGTTAGAAAAATGAGATTTGACATTTCTTCCCATTAGCTTGTTTGCACTGTCTGAGTATACCCGGGCAAGGACATTTTACACCAGTTGGTATGTTGGTGTTGAAACACATCTCTCTGTTGCTCCCACCATCTGTAGGAACATCCTGTGAGTTACCAAGACTCAAGTTGCCCCACGCCAGCTACAGGACAAGACTGCAAGGAAACATGGGAAAAGAAACATGGAGCATAAATTTTCAGGTATGGTCTTGAGAAAGATGGAAATTTTGGCAGAACAAGGTGTACATGTTAATACTGCTGCAGGTTCATTGACAGGCACAGACACCTCAGGTGAGATGAGAGCCTGTGGGGTGTCCTGCACTCAGGTTGCATTTTGGAGGTGCCTGGCACACTGTATGATCCCATGCTCCCTGAAATCCCTGGGCTCATGTCATATGCATGTTCTGTGCATATATATTAATTATTAATGTGCTGTGTTTCCTACATAGCTAGTTTACCAAAGCAGTTTGTTCCTTAGCAAGTAAAGGAAATAACTCGGTAAATAGAAATGTGTTTCGTAATAGCCTTGTTTGTGACAAAATTGTGAACTAAATTTTTACACAACATGGGGCTGCAAGTATTTGAGTCACATTTGAACAGCAAAGCCCACCACATGCAGCTTTAATTACAATATTTCTCTCAAACACAGTCTTTCTCATGTTTTTCTGAACATTGTTTAAAGAACTGATGAAAGGGTTGAAAACTTATCAAACTTTCCTTTTCTTAGGGTCCCTTCAGTTCAGTCTTTCATCATGCAGTCAATAAACAGTTGAAAAGGACTCTTCTGAACTGCAGCAGGAGGGTAGAGAAGAGGGCAAATTAATGTTATCACCAAATTGAAACTCTTTCAAGTTCCCTTTAATTGCAGAAGGCACAGGGAGCTCATTCGGTTTTTAATTCTCTGATCTCTTGCTCTCCCCGACGGGATCAGTTTTCCTCTCCTCCCATGTTGCACGCGATTCTCCCAGAGCATTGAGCCTGGCAGAGTGAAACGGGCCAGAAGCCTGGCTCCCTCCTTGAGGGTCCTCCACTGTGCAGGGCTCAGATTTCATGGGTGGAGCAGCAGCCTGCGCAGTCCAGGGAAGGCAGGGCCAGGTCAGTAGAGCTCTCCTGCAAGCCACGAGGTCTTTCTCTGGGTAAGGAAGCAGGAGAGGGTCTTTATAGAGGGCAGAATAAGTAAACCTTGGTCACAAGCTACGAGCAGCCCTTTCACCCATCCCTGTGTAATGTCTTGCCTTTTTAAACCACAACCCTAACACCTTCTCCTCTGCCATTGTCCTCACTCTTCAAGCACATTCCTCATAACTCAGCAATGTGTTCCCCAAGACCTCCTCCTTTCGGAGCTGCATCCTGGACTCTGCGTGCTCTTCACCCTTCCATGGTCCCACACCAGGGCTTGGTCCACCTTTACCTTTGACCTCAGTAACACAGGACTGAAGTCAGACATTCTCTAAACAAAGCTCTTATCACCTGATTTGAAGTGATGTGACCTTTCCTACTGCCCTGGGGTGCCTGACCTGTGACCAGGCTGCTGTGGTGCCCTAGCCTCACACTGGTGGTCGCCCTGCTGTTGGTATGTAGCACCCACCATACAAGGATACTTCTTACTCATTTAGACACCTGGTAAGCTGTTCTTCCTGTTCTTTCTCTTTCAGACAAAGAGATAAGGGTTTTAGAGCGAATGGAGAGGATGTGGGAGGATACGTCACATTTAGATTTATTGCATTTGAGCTAGATAATGAAGACCAGTGTGCATGCAGAAGCATTCTGGCATTATTTTAGAAGTCTATTCTAAATAGTTGGCTTCCTTAGAAATAAATTACAGCATTTCTTGAAACCTTGTGAAATAGTGTATTTGTTAGAAATGTCCTTATGCAGTATCTTTCCATTATGTCAGTCCTGGTTAAACCCAGCCCCTGGCTGGCAGGTGCTGCCTGTTCAGTGAGATGGCACATGAGAATTACATATGCAAGTGGTTCAAGGTTAAAAGAGAAGACAGTAAAAAAACCCCAAGACTGTCAGAACATTGCACCTGCCCACCAACGAGTTTCTCAACTAAATGCACCAAGCATGCCCTGGCTGTCTTTTTTTTGTGGAAAGTATCAGTGCAAAAGGCTGGTAACTGCTCAGAGAACCATCCCCATCATCGAAAAGACTGAGGATTATGGCTGCAACAGGTCCATGGGCAGAAACAAAGTATAAAGCTTTAAATTCAAGTCATACTGATAAGTATGACAAATAAAGAGACCAAATTCCCTTAAAAATGGGATTAAAGAGGCTGTAGGGAGAAATATTTTGAAGGAAGTTAAAGAGAAGTTAATCTGCTTTTATGTAATTTGTTTCCCAGTTCTTCCTGAACTGGCTTGCTTTGGAGACAGCTGCTTTCAAGGTTTACAGCTGTGCATATGGTTAGGAGGGCTGGAACTGGCAGCTGATCACCTGACAGAATAATGGCTAACTGGAAAAATAGCTGGGTATATAATTTACAGATGATATGACCACATCAAAATCAGTGAAACACAAACAGTCTCCAGATTGCTGTCTGTTGTGATATGTTCCTCCTGATTGCTCCCCCATTGTGCTGAGCATCACCTCTCCTCCCACCAGCACCCGCAGTGGGAAGGAGAGTGATGAGCCGCAGCACTGTGGGGCACAGGAGGATGGAGATCTCAGTCTCTGGAGATTTGTATGGTTTAGATACAGACAGGAGCCAAAGCAACAGTACCACCAGGTCCGTGTTTTTGCAGAAAGTGTGCACATCAGCAGTGTGGTGGGTGCCCAGAGGTCTGTAACCTGTAGCTCGTTCCTCTCCCAGCCACCACCTAGACTTCCAGCCATGTTGGATCTCCAGGGTGTCAGGCAGCCTGGCAGGTCTGGAACTTCTAGCTCCCAAAACTGTCCTTGCTCTGGAAGGTGCCAAACAGCTCGTTCAGTACATTCTCCAGTTTTTAAATTGTCTGGATTTGAACCCAAGCTTGCTAAGGTGAAACACAAAGCCACAATAAATTGGTGAAGATGCAGAGTTTGGTTGCACCAATAGTATTTAACCTTCTGCAGACATCTCTTGGCTTTCCTGTAGGAAAATTGCTTGAAAAAAATTGCCCTTCAAACCATGGGTGCTTTTCTGAATGGACTGTTTTTTTAAAATCTGGGCAGAATGCCTTTTTCATGCTGTTTTTCTCACTCAGTTTTTCTCAGTGGGGGAAAAGACAGTAAAAAAGGGAGAGAGAGTGGGAACCACAGAATGCAGATGTGGAATCTAGAAAAAAAAAAAGACTTTTTCTAAAAGCTGGAAATATTTCATCTCCAAATAAATGGCTTTCTATACAAATATCCATTTATTGTGAACAGATCAGTTCTTATTTTCTCACTGGAAAAAACTCATAAGTGTTTTGCTAAGCCTTCTCTTCCTTTCCTCCAAAAACCAGAGATGTGGTGAAACTGAAGGACACTGGGAGGTGGTGATCTGTGTTGTGACACACTGGACTGTATCTGTCCACTGCTGCGATTACAAATGGAGGAGCCTTCTTTCTTCACAAGCGCCCATGTTACCCTTGAGGTGATCTGTATGATCCATCCTACACCATGTGTTAAAATATGTGCATGGTCGAGAAACAAATGCCAGTCTTACTGAGGCATTAGTCTCAGTTGTATTCTGCCCCAGGGCTGAAAATTTTATTAGGCTCAACTCTTCTCAGCTCCTGACATTATCACTCTGTTTGTTATCTCTCACTTAGGGAATTCAGCTGGCCAGCATGAACTGCCTTGATGTTTTCTTGTCACAAATTCATGGATGCACCCAGTAAGCAGTATGTTACGTTTGAAATATATTCTGCATGGGTTGGAGAGGGTCATACTGCTGCTGAACTTCTCAAAAGAGCCCAAGCAGCACACAGGCTGGGATGGAGCACTGGTGATACTGATTTCTCCAGCAGCACTGTGTTACAGAGTGTGGCCTTGGAAAGAAGGAAATTACTCCAGTGGTCTCAGTAAGTGTAAAAACTGCCATGTCATTTAACAGACACGGTGCCAGGGCTTTTATAGAGTGTAATCCAACTCTGAAAATTCTGCTGAAGAACGCTTGAGCTAACAAGGCTCTGTGCTCTCAGATGAAGCAAGCCACGTACATTAGCTCTATTGTCAAGACATGGCGCAGAGCATTTATTGCTTTTGGCTCATGTACAGTGCAGGATTATTCTGTGAGCTTACACAAGACTGTCTATTTATAGTTGAAAGTGAATTATTTGCTCATTAGTGGTTCATAAAGGTCTGCTTGCTCCCACAATGTGAGACAGCTTGGGCTTCTCTGTGTGATGAGATGGGCTTGCTTTAGCTCATGCTCAACAGACAGCACCTTCAAGGTGGTCCAAAGGACATGGGATTAGGAAAATCAACAACTACTGTAAGAAAGATATTCCTCTTTTTCTTTTTTTGTTGGTCCGGCTTTCAGCACCACAATCTCACTTTGAGGTCTGTGTGTACCAGAGGAGGGAGGTAAGGGCAGAGAACAGCGATGTTTTGGCTGGCCTCAGCCTCTCCTGTCGCTTGTCCTTCCGCAGCATGTCAGTTCTGGTGAGCTCAGGACAGCTTCCAGTAGCCTGCTGTGGTGTCAGATTTTATACTTGCTTTGCACCTCTTAAAAAAGCTTTCTCTGAATCAGAAGATATGGCAGATGGCAATCAGTGAGGAGAAAACAGCTCTTCAGTGCCAGATTTAAGCAAGTACATAAGTTTTCATTGTATTAAAATAAGACACCAGCGCTATTTCAAAGGGAAATAAAAATATGCTCTTAATACTTCCCTGATTGCCCCTGGATGTTTGAACCCCAGTTGGTTAAAATGCCTGGGACACCCTGCAAGCTCTGTCAAATTGTAAAGCTGATTTTTGGAGTGTTTCATAGGAACTTAGGCAGGTTTTTGCATAAGAACATGAATTTTCCACTGACTTATATTTATTTGTTTGATGAAGCAACACTGTACTTTTTTGCCCTACTTTTTTTTTTTTTTTTCTGAAAAATAATACTTACCAAGCTTTGGAATATCCCAGAAGCTGGTGCTGTACGGTAAGCTGAGCATATTTTACCTCTCCTGGCTGGAGCACTTGCCACTCACCTTTTACCTAAAGAATCATTTCTTACCACTGCCAGCCTCCATGTGTTCATAGAGAAACAGGGACAGACTGCTCTGCCGCAACACAGGCAAATTTGGGATTTTTTCTGATATGATTCTTGTCACACAAGGGTGGAATATTTAGAAATACAAGGACAGTAGTGTTATAATGAGCTGCAGCAATCCTCTACTGCCAGCCCCATTAGCTGAGTGATGAGTGCAAGAAACCATTGCCCAGGTGTGGGCAGCTGTGTGGACATGGAAATTGATGGATATTCAAGTCATGGATTATTGTGTGTAGACAGGTGCAGTGCTGGGTATACACCTGAGACAGGTTTTGCACCACTCTGACTTCACTGGAAGGAAGCTATATTATATCAGAGACTGAAAACTCTGGTGGGAAAAGCTGTAGACAGTGACCTTAGAGCCCAGTGTCTGTTCACTGTGCCATTGATGTGTAGGCCCAAGATTTTAAGTTCCACTTTCTCTATATTTTATCTGTTTAAACCATGGGGAGCAAGGATTAGTCTTTACTTTGAGATTTTAATATTCCAGGATAGATTAAGACAGCAGCATCCTGATGTCAGATGACCATTAAATGCTAAATTCTATCAAATCCTCCAGCAGCATTAGTCAAATCAAGACTTAAGTCCCAAAAGCTTCATACATTCTGCAAAATAATTTCACCACAGTATCGTCTCTGAAGCCAAGTCTTTCTTTGTCAATAAATGAGCAATTCAGGGATAAATCAGCTGGAAAAGTTCTAACGTGGTTAGTTGAGCCTTCCCTTGGCCAAGCCATAAGTGAAAAGCAAATTCTCATGGCTGAGTTACAAAAGCACTAAGAAAATGGAAATGTTGATGTTTATTATTGATTTTATTCTTTGCTGCCATGGAATGGTGCTAGTGGGAGCTGTTTTAATCAGTTTACTTTAACACTTATTTACAGAAGGAAGTGCTTAATTTATCCCCTCTTTTCCTTTACCAAAGTGATGCACTATCAAGATGTCAGCTCTGTTTCTTGTACAACAGCCCTCCTCTTTTTGGTTTTCTTACTGTACTTGTGTAATTAATTTCTTATCAGGCCCTATAATATAAAAAAAAAGTGCATGTGTTTTAACTCCTAAAGTAATCCCTCGTATTCATTATGGGATAGAATAGACAATGGTTGCTGAAGATACAACTGCAAAATGTTTCAGATTTCTGGAAATATGTGTAGAAAGCTACATTTATCAAACATTCATCCAAAACTCCTGATGCTGTCATGTCACAGATATGTGCCTATACAGAGAGCATATCTTTGGGATTCAAGTCAGACAGCCTGATACCAGTTTAACTGAGAATCTGGGAAATTTTGAGTGATATATCTTCTCATAATCTGTGAAGTTAAATGGTTTTTCCGATTTGATCCTTTACTGCCTTCCCCATTTTGTGTCAGATGAAATCAGGTGTGAAATGATAGGACATCCAAATGGCACGTTCATCTGCCCACCCTCTGCTCCTTCATAGCAGGGTGAGTAATTGCAGGGAGGACAACAGAGAAAAAGTAATTAGGCCCTAATTGCCCCTGATTAGTCATATTTAATGCACCAATATTAGTGGCAATTTCAATGCGCAGAGTGTCCTGTGAAACCATCCTCCATCGTTAATCAGTGCTGTTTGTGGGGCTGGAAATGACCCTGGTGCAGGTTTACTCCAGCAGAAGAGCCAGTCCAGCTCAGCAGCAGCTGGTCAGAGCTCTCTGGAATGGCAACTGCACTGTCTTTTGTAGCCAGCACTGGGAACACGCTTCCTGCGTTTCCCCTGCCTTCTTATAGGGTCCTGCTCAAATACCTGAGTTCAAATTCATGTCAAATCTTGCTCTCCATCCTCTTTAGCCCATGGTGGATACCTGCCCCTGAGGGAAGCAAAGTGTTCTGACCAGGACAAGCTATGGCCATGCTCAGCCCTGCCACCATCCCTTCCCAGCTGAAAGTTTTCCAGCTCCTTGCAAAACCACATCCATTCCAGGTGGCCACTTGACACAGGAAACACCTGCCTTTCAAATGAACAAGATGTTTAATTAATCTCTGGAGCCAAATTTCATCCTCTTCTTGCCCTGTCTTGCCTTCATTCCCTGACACTGCTTGGCAGTGAGTGGCTCCAAACCCAGATCCTCCTGTCAGCCTCCCCCTGACCACCACTAACCACCTGTGAAAGGAGTAATGGCTTTTTGCTGGCTTAGCTGGATGACAGCAAATCTTGATACCTGCCTCTCATAGCCTGGCTCATGTGTTTATAATGATGTATTTGCTCTAGCACCTAGAGTAAATGAATTATATTAAGCCCCTGCAAATGGTCATAAATATGATAGTCTATGTGAACTGAGGTAATTGCCTTCTTTATGTGTGTGTTTATCTTCACCACATTGCATACACAATGTGCATTATGTCAAAAAGATGATAAAGAGCAGCCATAATGCTCCTGAACTGCATAAGTCTTTCTAGTTTATGACTGAGGCTTGGAGTTATCTTATGCAAAGTTAGCTGCAGTAGGTTTAATATAAATTAACATACTTATAAAATGTCAAGGAGCATTAATTGACAATTTCTGAGGCCTACCACGCTAAATACCAATTCAGTTCTAAAACCTATCTCTGCAAATTTAATATATGGAAAATAATGCTTATTCATGAATGGTTTATATAACTTGGAATTAATTACATGGCAGCTAGAGCTAGCTGGTACAGATGGTCTTTCTATAAAATGAGGTGCCAAAAATAAAGTTCCAAGCCCCACATGGGAATTTCTGGGGTGGGTATTGAGCACTTTGTGAAAACAGGGCACATCATCTTGTGTGTAAATATCGACTTACTAACCTAATTCTGGACCACTTTTGAAAGAGACCTAGCCTATATAAAAGCATTTAACATCAGCAACTTCTGCATTTTGAATGAGTACGGCAGATGAGGCCTGCAGCAGAGCCCAGTGTGCTCCCCCACCATTTTGCTCATCTACCAAATGGAGATGACACTGCATATCTCTAGCTGAAAAAGATGAAACAAGCTAATGTTTATTTATTTGCACAAAGAGGCAAGTGTTGTTGGGTTCCTTTGCCTTCAGCTTGAGCAGCATTAAAGCTGGTAGTAGTCAGTGCAATGGGCCGCTTTGGCGGTGCTCAGGTGAATGCTAATTTTTTATTAATACAGACCTGGGTTCTAAAAAAACCCAGCTTCTCTCTTCAGTGCTATTTGCAGGCACCAGGAAAGTGCTGTCTCTGTGAGAAGGTTACCTTCTTCTCCCTCCAGCTTGTGTTGCTTCCAGCAGCAAGTGTGGTCAGCTCAGCACTACAGCATGCCTACTTTTAGAGCTCATGGGAACTTTACTGCCTGCCTAAACAAAGTTAAGTAAGGCTGAAGGATGAGATTTTAAAGCATTCATTGATTTTTCCTTTAATATTTTGTTATTTCTTTTTACATCAATACAATATTTGCTTTATCTAGCGCACTGTGGTATAAGTATATTCCCAGAATATGATGCACATAATGTAATTTTCATATATGGGCATACAGATATAAAACAAAAGATTGCCTCTAACTGCCTTAAATAACACAAACCGTCTAGGAAACTGCTATATGAGCTGAGGGCTCCCAGCTATCCATACTCAGGTTGCCGGGGCATTCTCAGAGTGGGGAAGGGCAGACCTCTGCAGAGCCCAGTGTGAAGGGATGGGTTTCCTTGGCATTGGTGGAAATTTGCAGCATTTGGGGCCCCAGAGCTGTGCAGTAATGGGTTTCTATGGCAACTGGCTGGTAAAGCTGGGGATGGGGAACCTGCCCCGCTGTACCCACAGCTTTTACTTAATTTTTTACCAGGTAGACCCTTCTTTTATGTTCTTCGTCTTCTCTTTTTTTGTGTTGCTGCTGTGGACGCACAGGTTTATTTCCCCATCCTCTGCTGCTCACAAGTGTCCTGGGAGACTCAGTGGAGGGCTACAGGGCACTGAGTGCATTTGCCTGTGGATGCTCAAGAACCCCACTCATGTGGACACCCACGTGACTCTTCCACTGCGCGTGAGGCAGCAGCAAGCACTGTGTGTTACCAGTGTGAATCACCTTCAGCGCATTCGGGACTTGTGTTTATCCCTTGTGCCCATGTGGGATGCTTTCCCTTCCCAGATCTTCCCTTCCCAGCTTCTTCAAAGTACAAAACTCAAATTTCCTTATGTCCGCTTCCCTTATACTGTCTTTGCTAGAGATGAGAAGCAGAGGGCAAAGACACAGGTTATCAGATCCATAGGAAGAAGCAGATGTTGGTTTAATCTGAGATACCAGCAGCTGGTTACAGGCTGCATTTAGGGAAGAATTGCAGGCTAGACCAGTGGCCAGTGGTGTGGGCTATAAGATGTCCCTAGACAACCTGCTGCAGCTGCCCCTGCTTGAGCATGGGTAGGATGGTCTGGAGAGGTCCCCACCAGCCTCAGTTGTCCTGTGACTTAGTGACTCTGTAATCAGTGATATAACCTTGGAGTATAGTCTACTCCACTATGCTAATGGTAGTAGAAATGCACAGTAGGAGATGGTCATGCCCCAGAGATCTCCCCATAACAGGGAGAACAGACAGTGAGGAAGGATGGGGTGACACTAGAGTGGTTTCTGTTTCCCCTAAGTTAAGCCCTCCCCTGAGGTCAGTGGGACTGTGAGACTAGAAACAATCTCCCCAGCTGATAGCAAATGCTTATTCCCCTTAACCACCCTGCCCTTGTCTTTCTGCTTGCTGTTTCATACCCTGCTTCTCCCATCCAGCCACCCTTATGTACTTTCAAACCACAGTGTTTGTTTGCTTGGGGATTTTAGGGTTTTGCTTGTTTTTTACTTTCAACAGCAACACTATGAAACTTCAGGAGGTTTTCACCCCATCTGGTGCCACGGATGCTGACTATGCTCACCTCGCGGTGGAAGGCAAGCTGCGGTGGCACAGGCAGCACACCAGTAAGAGGCCGTGGGGAGAACTGCACCAGCTGGAGCCCCTCAAGGCTTTCTGGGAGCAAGCCAGGCAGGTACGTGGCTGTAGCCAGGCACAAATACTCTTCAGCTGCAGCATAAGCAGACATGTAAATTGCTCCTTCCCTTGTACCTGCAACGTTTCCACTATGAGCGTCTCCCATACAATGCCGTAACGCCATCTACTTTTATATGCAATAGCAGTAATGGTTTTGTCTTGCTGGAAACATAAAAAAAAATATGCTTTAACCCATCTGCAAAGCAACTGCTTCAAATTAAATTTCGTAATAAAACCAAATTAAACATAATTGAGAAACTTGCCCTGAGAACAGAACAATAAGAAATTTGCTGTGACAATGGTGCAATATATATTGTTCCTCTACGGTGCTCCAAATGTCCCTGCTGTCAGGCTGTGCTGTCATTAGGGCAGTTTGCTGCTGTTATTGTGAATCTTAAAACATGCCTTTCCCCTTCTGTATGAGACCACTCCTCTAAGGTCTTATGCATGCTGATGAAAGAATTAGGCTCAGCTATCAGGAATTAAGCAAAAAATGTGCTGACACATGTTCCTAGAGATACTGCTGAAAGGAGATAGCTTTTTACAGAGATGCTCCGATGCTTGCTGCAGGTATGAATATTGCAGAGCGTGCAGCCTGTCTCTAGTGGGTTGCTTGACCATGAAATTGCCCATGAAATGGGAATCTATTGTTTATTGTGCTAATTAGTAACTCAGAGAGTTTATTTAAAGGTCACTAGGATGCAATAAGAAATAACGTAGTGTGTTAATGGAAGAAAATTCAAGAAGCCGTAGGGGTTTGGATTATTTAGTAGAATCTTATTCCTAATATTTAAGATACTTTGAAATGTGCATTAAATTAATAAGGGAGATGAAGGAATGTTTTAATATAACTTAGTGTGAAAATAGACTTCAGAATTTATTTTATTCATAGTTTTTTGCATCAAAGGTTCTATAATGATTAATTTTCAAACTTACAGGTTTTAATAGCAAAATAAGAAATAATAGCTCCAAAGTTCCTTTGAAATACTTAATAAAATGCTGTTCTTTAAAGCAGTAGATGGCTTTCAAATACCACTACTATTTCAAAGAACTGTATTCTTTACAATATTCCTATTCAGTTTTCTGTACTGTGCAAAGATGACTCACTTGATGTAGCACAGAAATATTTTCAGATGGGCAAAAATTAAGGTATTGTTATATTCCAACAAAATGCTGGACTGAAAAACCGTACTGAGTACTTGCTAGGGTAGAAGTTTAAATGCAAGTTAATTTGCTGTTACAGAAGGTTCCTTGGCCTTCCAGATTCCAGGACAAACTTAAAAAACCCCAGTCAGTAGCTAACGGATGTAATTATTCTGGCTGTCAATTGCTTTGTGCACTGGGTTTCTGGAGGAGGAGCAGCACAGCAGGTCACCGGGTATGGGTAGTCACAAGCAAGCAAGAAAGATCCTTCAACAGTAGGGTCTAGCAGGGCATGAATAAGGTAAAGCTGGTTTTGTCTGTTGAGCAGAAAAATTGGCAATTAAGGTAGGATAACTTAAGCAGTCACCACACCGGGTGGAGGAAGAGAGGCTTTTCCTGCAAATACAGTCCAAGAGGGCATGTGACTGATGCAGGGCTGATGGAGAGGCACAGGAGGACTAACAGAGACCCCTGATTCAAATGTTTTCTGGTAAGAAAATGTGTTTTCCCCTCAACTGTCCCCAGACAAGGAACGTATTTGCGTCAAACCAAAGGTGTGTAAAAACAGGATTTCCAACATGGTCTGTGCCGAAGTGCCCCTTTAGCAGATGTTGGAGATAAAGGAGTTCCTCCTTGGATGCTATAAAACTAAAAAGCAGGATTCAGTCCCTTCCAGAGGCCTGGGGAAGCAGAGGGCAACGCTGAACAGCAGCTGGAATTGCATGCTTGAATCCCATTACAGGGGGGCTACTAATTGTAAATCCAGGCATGCAAAGGATTAGTTGCTAGCAGGTGTCAAAGATAAGAAATTTCTCTCTGATCCAGGCAGGGGGTATCTTTGTGTGTTTTCCTGAATTGTTCTCTTCTTACCATTGTTCATGAGAACATAAAATGAACCTCTGTTTGAGGAAATGGGATAAATAATTTTGCTGCTGTTGGAAAAGCTAAAAAAAAAAAAAGAGTGCAAGTCTTCAAAGGGGAGAAATTGTTAAATAGGAAATTACTACATGAAAAAATACAGTTGTGGAGGGCAGACAGTTCTTAAAAGCTAGCCTGTAGTTCAACAGCCTGCCTGCAGCAAAGGGTTCATAATCTGCCCAGCAATTTACTTGGGTCCCTTGCTTACTTGCATTGTACGAAAATGAGTGAATTTAGGCAATTAGCAGAGCCAGTGATTCCCAGGGCCCTCCTGGTCATCACCCGCTTGTGGCTGCCCTTTTCATCCCTGGGCACAGGTCTCAGCCTGGGAGGTCCATGCACATTAGCTGGAGCAGGAGGTCCTGTCACCATTGCTGCCCCTTGCTGTGCCGTGGGAAGAGTGGGAGGCAATGCAAATCCTAACTAAATGCTTTAATTGGGGAGCTAGTCCCTGTGGAGAGCAAATGGTGAGCAAATGGAGAAGGATGCTCTTCAGATCCCCCGAGATCTAGATTGCCTTTTTTCTGTTGTCTTTGCACAAAGTGCAGGGAGAGCGGTTTCTGTAAGGGATTGATACAGGGCATTTGCTCTGCTTGTAAAGTGAATGAGCTTGCTTTCAATGTGGTGCACTAAGAGCATCCATGAAGGGAATTACTGCTGAGAAATACCACTCTGCAAATTCAGGCCTTAGTTTACTCTCTGTCCACATGGACAAATCCTGATAAGGTCACTAATGAGCTAGCCCTAGGCATGAAGAACCTAATCGGATCAGTCTGGTCCTAGTTCGCAGTATTAAACCCAGCATCACAACAGGAATAGCTAAATTACAGAGGAAAGGTTCAAAATCCAATGATTTGTGAATTTTTAGGACACGTACAAAATACATCATTTCAATCATCATTTCAGTGTGTGAAAGAAAAGTCATGGCACCACTGTAATAATGGCAAAGCAAATGGATCAGTCAGAAATAAACTATGTGGTAGGCACCAAAGCTGGCTGATGGGGCTGTTCTGGTAGCTTCTTTATGGGTATTTCCAATGCAATAGATGGTGCTACTAGATGTGATTTCTTGATGTGGGGGAAAGAAGTGTTGGTCCTTGGAGTCATAAAACAGTGGGGCTTTAGGAGTTTTGCAGTCACCCTCAACAGAAGCTGAGGCTCAATCATTAATTCATAGAGTCATAGAATAGCTAAGGTTGCAAAGGACCTTAAGATTATCTAATTCCAGCCCTCGTGCCATGGGCAGGGGTGCCTCATACTGCCATGTCGGCCAAGGCCCTGTCCAACCTGGCCTTGAACGCTGCCAGGGATGAGGCATTTACCACTTCTTTGGGCAACCTGTTCTAGGAGAAAAAAAACATAAGAGAAAAGCATTGCCTGTAGCCTTGCATGACTCTGCAAGCATAAGGCTGCCAGCCCACACACCCCGTCAAAAAGCCAACGCTTTGTTTTGAATTAGCACCCAACTTTTTGCCAAAGGAAACAGAAGCAGCAAGCCAGTCATCCGAGTTTCTGTCTCTGAGCTCCCAACAGGCCACTTCGGCTGAGTACCAAAAGCAAATGCCTGTAAGGAAGGACATTTATTTAGTGCAGAAGAAGCCCACATGCGCATCTGCTAAACAGTAAGTCTTGACTAATCATCCAAGAAATGAGAGGTCCCTGTGCTTTTTGCATGCCTTCTGTTAAAGAAAGACTATACATCTTTGATTGATCTAGCAAACAGAAACAATGCTAAAATAATGTTTCGTGGCATTCTCCAGTTTTCCTTTTTTCTGTAAATATCGTTGGTGGTGCTTGTGAAAAGTCATTAGCAAAGACACCATTGCATCCCAAGATATTAAGGACAGGTTTTAATTATTTTTCCTGCACTAAAACAGTTTCTTAATGGTATTAAGGAAATCTTTACATTTTTATTTCATTCTTAAAGTAATTTAGGACAAATGATAGATAAACATGATGGCATTTTTCTTTACTTGTTTGTTTATTCTCTAGAATGATGCTTAGGGAAGCCACTCCCTTGAACACTGAAGAAGACCTTAATCTTCTGAAACAGCAGAAAGTTCATGTTGGTCTTTGCTCTGTCTCTACATTGTTTTGGACTGTGTCAGTACATATCATTAAGGTAAAATAGAAGGAAACATTGTTGACTGAAGTGTAGAGGAAGCTATAATGATTTTGGCAGCTGTCATTGACGTCATGCTCATCGGTTTTCTTCAAGCCTTACCAAGTGATTCCTCTAATGGAAAGCTTACTTCCCAAGCAGTGCAAGAGGTAGCTTTCCACCTGTATAGGTTTATTTTCCTTTATTGCAGTAAAAGGAGCACACACTCAAACAGAATTTGAAGTCACTGGCAGAAAATAAAGCAGAAAGATCACATGAAGGCAAATGGAGGAACTCTAAAGACGTAAGCAGTGGAGGGAATAGTAATGAGGGAGTTAGATAAAAGACAGGGAATATGTAGCACTTTGAAGAGTAAAAGATAAGCAAAGCAAAACGTCCAGCAAATGTCCTCGTGACAGTATCCCAGCAACAATAAATTCTGCTTGTAATAGGGCAGGCTGAGAAAAAGACGGGGACTGACAGTTTTCTAATCTCCTGACAAAAAAAAAGTGGTCACTGGTACCACTGCATAATGTTGAGTATAACGTGTAAAACTCATGTAGGTATGTATGGCTTTTCTGCAGCAGCTACTGCCAAGAAAATTATTCAGAGATAGAAGTTAACAGACAGTATTGATGATCTGCGTTAGAGCTCTTTTAAGAGGTACATGTCACCTGCAAGTACTAATTTGACTTCCAGTTCACGTGGAAGATGCTGACAAAGAAGTCGTATTGCTGGATGGGCAATTTTGGGGTTATGTTTTCTGCCTCTTAGCTTATCTGCTACCAAAAAAAAAGGAATAGAATGTCTGGTTGCCACATGGATCAGTATATCAGTGTAACAAGGTCTTACAGACTAAAATAAATGGGAATTTCCTGTGGATGAGCATCTGTGTCACAGTAAAGGGTATCAAATAGAAGATTTGCACATTTTGTTGAGGAAGAGATGAGTCTTATGCAGGTATACTCAGGTATTCTCCCAGTGCAAGGAAAGAAAATGATAAATAGTCAGATGTCTCAGAGAAGCCTGAATGGAGGAATAATAGCCATCAGCAGTGAAAGACATTGAATTAGGTGGATTCCTACTTCTAGAAACTTCCTATGTTTATTATTGATGGCACTGAAAGTTTTATTTCTTTCTTTTTTGTACTTCTCCAGTGATCTGGTTAGTGTTTCAACATGCAAAGGCAGCTGATGGAAGGATTCTGGAAGGAAAATGAAAAATGACATAAATGAGCTAGAATAGCAACTGTGCACTGGCAAGGAGTACAAAGAAAAGTAAGAACTGGAGATAATTCTAAATGTTAAACTTTTTTTCTGAGTTCTAGCTAAAATACAACTGAAAGAATCTCAGGAAATTTCAAGTCCCTATTTCCACAGGTTTTCTGAATCTTTGAGCCTTTTTTTCCTTATCTAATATCCCAGACCTTATTTTCAAGGTACATGAACACCAAGAGGTTCTGATTAGAAAAATCACTGTTCCCTCATCCAAACTCTTGCACGTCTGTCAGATCAGAAAATTCTGCCCTGTATCCTCTGGCAAGGGATGCTGAGATGGGTGCAGTGGGCTCTCAGAGGGAGAGGGAGGCAATGTGCAGGTAAGTATTTCAGAGATTGCTCCCTGATGAAATTATCAGGCAATGAATTATTTTTGGACTTTCTAAAGGTGGTTTTAAACTCTCCATAACTGCAGGTACCAGGTCTTAAGTCCCCAGCAATACCGAAGTAGGATTGGATGGAGGCTGTGCTTGGTGGGTTGGGAAATGGAGACTCCTGTCATGGAGAAGGCTGCAGGCTTCTGGCTTCAGGCACTGGGAGGAAAGCAGCTGTTCCACCTGCAGATTTGCAGCTCAGGGATTGAGTCAGTGCCCTGACAGCGATGAGCAGCTGAGCTGGCAGAGCCCAAGCACTGCAGAAGCACTGGGAAGGCGGGGGTCAGCCAACACACCAACATGGGCACCGCTGGAGGGAGCAAGGCAGAGAGCAGTGCATGGAAAGGTACATAAAAGTGCAATTCTACGTGTATTAAACCCCTGCATTTTAAAGCAGCAGAGTGATGTTTTCCTTTTCATAATTATTTCAATTCCAGTTATATAGATTTTTTTTTCTTCTTCAAATCTGCAATTGTTGTTTGCCAAAAATGGGAAATGGATTGTTTTTTTTCAACAGTGTGGTGCTCCAGGTCAGCTTGATAACATGGGAAATGGCAGGCTAATGACAGTTTAACACCAATTAACAGGCTGCTTTATAACAGATTAGGTTCTGAGTCTGTTCAATTGGTAATGACAATAATTACCTCTCTGAGCTTGCATGCACTTTTGAACAGAAATTTGGTACCTTTGTTTACGCTGAAGAAGGAAACGCACAGGGCAGGTATGGATCATGTAGAGTGTTACAGACAGTCAGAATCATAAGTGTACTGAATTTGGGCCTGCTCTTGAAATGTGTTTGCAGCTAACATCTTTCTAGGTGGAGGTGACTATGTAAATGACTATTTTAGTCTTACCTGAGCAGAGCTGCAAGCAGAGACTTGAGATTTAGTATATTGCTCTGGTTCAGATAAACTGTGAAAGGCATTTGTGCTACAGAACAGCTCTCTTCATCCTTGCTTTGGCATCCCTGGTCTCAAACGGTTGGTTTTCCCACCTACTTAAGGCAGTTAATTTTGACATTTAGCTCTTGTAACTGAAGTCAGACACCCAAATATAATGTCTCTTCCTGCTGGGAAAACTAATGGTAAGAAATGTTTGGTAAGAGGCAGCTCCATACTGATGCTTACAGTGAGACACTCAAAAGAGCTCAACTTTCAACATGACTGTGTCCTGAATTCTTTAGGAAAGCTCCATTAGGTCTTGGATCCTTCAAGAATTCAAGTGTTGCTGCCATAGCAATTCCTGTAAATGGTTTATGGAGGACTGCTGGCACCCACATGTGATGGTGGTTATCTGTGGGACCAGAGTCAGAGCACAGAAGTCAGTACGCCAGACCTCCTGGCTCTGGGATACCTAGCCAGGTCTCTGGTCACATTGTCTTGGTGGTTTAATGGTTGCAAGATCTCCTTGGGTTCCTGTTAACTTTATGTGTCTCATTAATTTTGTTGACTGCCTCTCTTAAATACTGCAAAATCTCCTTTTGAGAAATACACAAGGTGAGCTCTATTTATGGTTATTTTTTAAATACTGAGGCAGTGGTCAGAGCTAGCTCAGCAGGGAACCTTTGCAGATGTAGCCTTCTTGAGTATTTCTTCAATCCTGCACAGATTAGTAAAACAAACCATTTGATGAGTGTGGTCAACCCCTGAGAGCAGTTATCCAAATCCCACTTCTCTGAAAGATGCATTTCAGAATCATTAAGGAGCCAGGATTTGTCCTGGCAATGGGAGAAAGAGGCTTAAGACTAAAAATGGATTTTTAAACTTAAAATGTATTGTTTGGATTGTATGGTTGGATTGTTTTTGTCATGCCATGCTGTATCAGAATAATTGGATGTATGCACAATGCAGCAACAAGCCTGGGTGACAGTGGGTTTGTCAAGGAGCTAAACAAGAGGCCTGAAAGCAGAGACTCTAGTTAAAAATTGTCATCATCTTCCTTTACCCCAGCAGAGCTCATGTACCCTGTTCTTGACATTTCATAAAATGGCACACAGCAAACATCACTGCTCTTGCCTTGTTTGAAAACAATCTAACACAACAATAAGGAGTTGAAAACTTAAAGTGGCATTAATGATGCTACAGTTGTACATTAAAAAGCCTTGACTTTTCCCAGTAGCAGCTCACTGGGGTTTAAGTATTATGAGGGACAGTGCTGTGATCTGCACTGTCCTCGTGCAGATTTCTACAGGGAAAGCTCCATTAGGTCTTGAACCCTAATGCAAGAAATTGCAGTAGAAATCCTGTAGCATCAGAGATGATTAGGTGTATCACACAGAGGAACAACCCTGTGGGATAAAGTCCTCAGGTGTGTCTGGGTATCACATTGCCCAAGCACTGTGAGACCTTTGAGAGGAGGCTAGGGCAAGGCAGAGGTGCTAAACTAGCTTCAGGTGCTGCCTCTTGCATGAGCCTGGGGGGATTGGGGGGTGCAGTTGGGGCCCCATAATAACATTACTGCTCCCTAGAGAGCAGCAGAGCTGGCTATGGAGGGCAGAAACTATCTTGTCACAGTGAATTTTGAATAGATGGCTTATTTCTAGTAATAGAAGGTGCTCTTTCTAAAATCTACAGATGAGGTTCTTAAATTCATGAATCCATCTGGAAAAATTGCATGTTTGATAAACTTGACAAAGAAGGACAGAGTTAGAATACAAGACAACTTGGCCACTAAGGAATTGAAGTAAAAAATCAATAATGTGTATATAGGGTGCATTAAAAGAACCCATTTCATAAGGCTGAAAGCAATTTTGGGCTAAATCAGCTGCAAAAAAGAATTTGGCGGACAAATGGGAGTAATTAGGAAAGTTGACTAGTTCAAAAGTCCTCAATCCAGAAGGATCATAGACTCATAGAATGGTTTGAGTTGGAAAAGACCTAAAGATCATCCAGTTCTAGTCCCTCTGCCATGGGCAAGGATACCTTGCACTAGGGTGTCTGCTGCTTTGTGAAACATCTGCCTTGTTCAGAAATCAGAAATTTGTTTCCCTTCAGCATTAACAAGGAAGAACTTTTTTCCTTCTCCTACTTGTTACAGGGCATTTGGTTTCATCGCTTGCTGCTCAACAGAAGGTAAACCCTCTGCCAAGCCACTTAAAACCTAAGTAGAGTCAGGCAATGCACTGTGTGGGGTGTGGAACAGATGTTTGAGAGCACAGCTGCTAGATGTCCTTATTTTTAGTTACAGCTTTTTAGTTTCTAATATCTGTCTATGTTTATGTTAGAGAACACTTTCTTCAGAAACATGACTTGGATGAGCTGTTCAGCTTGGGGTGTTTCCCTCTTCCCTGGCTGGGGACCTCCTTCCCCCAGCATCACTGCCTGTCCTGGGGAGAAACCTTCTCCCTTAAACTTGGACTTGTCTTGCTGATTGAGGAGGTGGGTTAATGAGGTGTAAAAGGCACCACTTCTAGTTGCTGTCAGCAGGAAGACTCATCACTGTCACAGATGGTAAAACATTTAATGAAACAATGAGATTTTCAGATATGTCTTGCCTTCCCTGAAGGCAGTGGTGGGCCAGGTCCTTGACTTTGGGTGAACAAAGGTAGCAGAACTGCTGTGGATCAGGCTTGCTGGATGTTAACTCTTGCAAATAATATATTCTTCGCTGCTGTCTATCAAATACTGCAATTGGTTTGGGTTTGTGTCCCGGTGAGTGTAAAGGAGGACAGATTTCAGACCTTTTGAGGAGTATTTGTTTGTAATTGAAAGCCTGCAGACAACACTGTGTTTCTAACAAACATCTTCATAATATTTAACATTCAATAGAGTAAAAGGAGAATAATGAGCACTGCAGCTATCCCAGGTTAGTAATTACCACCGTCATTATTAATTTTCCGGAGCAATCTCGTCAAATGACTCATTATCTCAATTCCTTAGCCAGGACTGATTGATTCTTTCTCCCTGTTGTGTCCAATTTCATATAATGTCCGAATACAATATAAAACTATAGAGACAGTGTAATTCTAATGCAGAATAATTCTAAATAACCAAATCCTTTGCTTACAGCTCTGTTTAGATCTGATGTTTTATACTACTTAATTGAAATAAATACCACAATTGTGTTGCTTCCCACCCGCCAGCACAGTCACCAGAATTCTACTGGAGACAGGGCTTTATATCAGCCAGGGATCTGGCCTGCATCTTTCAGTGTTGTATCTGTGTTGGTACCGACCAGGAGCTTCACAGCTTCACTGCACTTCACTACACTACACCAGGAACTTCACCTTGCAGAAGAAGCATGGCATAGTCTGAAATAAGTATTGATAAACTTCAGCATTTCATAATGTTAATTTCAGCCACTTTAAAGGAGAGAATATATTGGTTAGTCCAGTTGTGTTCGGTTGTGTTTTTTTTTGAAGGAGAAGCTAGATGTGATAGGTTTCTTCTCTATTCCATTAGCTCTCTGTTTGCAGTCTTCCATCAGCAGACCTAAGTATGAAGAAGTTCATTATAAGACAAGGAGAAGGATTTCCATGGGGATGGTAACATGTTCCTTCCTTCTGTGGAAATGATGAGGTAAAACTATTACCTTTCCTTTTAAAAAGTTTGAAACCCACTTCTGACATTTTTCTTGAGCTGGAGGGAGGGAGAGGAGAGGAAAAGACACAGCAATTATTTTACAGCTTTGACCTTTTTGTCTCCCAGACTTCAAACAGATTGGAGAGGGAAAAGAGTAGAATATAAAGTCAGGAGCAGCAAGCAGCGGGGTTGTAGGTGGTACCATTAGCATTGGACCTTTTGTTTGGTGGTTGTTTGTTTTTTTTTCCCAGAGTGAGAAGATATGATGGTTTAATCCTGAGCCAAGAAATCTTAATCTGCACTAGTAGAGATGACTCCTGTGCTGCTTTGTCTGTGTAGGTAGCATGAACATGAATCACAGCTGTTGAGATGTTAAGGCCCCTCAGTGCTGCTGGCCCTACTGGGGCTAAGGGCGGGAGGTGCAAGGAGGCTGCCTTGCTGTGCTGCATCTCACCCTGACAACACAGCCAGGCCCCACAGGTATGGCTCAGACACTGCAAGCAGCTCTCCAGCTAAATTTTGCCCTCATTTGGCAAGCAGGAATGGGGCCAGCAGGCTGCGGTTTCATCCTATGTGCAAAGCAGAGGAGAGGCTGTTCACTTCTTCCTGTGTACCAAGTGACCTTTATTCCTGGCCCTGATAGGAGAGGAGGGATGAGGAGCTCTGTGTCACTGCTCTCAGAGTGTCTTGGCTTTGCCTTCCTAAAGCCAGCCCCTTCGCCAGAAGCAGCTGCTTCCTCAGCAGCAGGTTGTCTTGTGTCTGCACTGACATTTAAGGATATCACTGTATGCTGAGCTAGATTGGACTGGGGGAAATAAACGAGGAGAGGTCTTTCAACATTTCAGTATCTTGGCCATTCAATACTCTTTTATTTCTGCTGGTTATTTATTGAAGCAGTTCCACTTTTGTGCGTTATTGCTGACTTAGC